TTTGGTGGTGAGATATGTTGGAATACCAAGAGTTGAGCAGTGTTGGCCAGGAATATAAGCATGAAGCTTAAATCATATTTTATGAGTCTAAATTTGGCAGCAAAAAGTGCTCTGAAAGTGACACACCACTGCCAGGGCAATCATGGGTCTGTGTCAGGCGCAGCATTCAGCACTGCTGTGCATTTCTGGCTGCACTGAAATCAACTTCTGGTTGAAAGAATAGCTTGGCAATTGTAAATCTCTGCTTGGAATTTTGGAATTGAACCCCATTATTTTGGGTGACAGAAAAAACGGAGGTCAAAGGCATAAGATACTCCAACCCCTTGAGGCATGAAATTTTGGGCCAAATTTAAGTTCTTCAAAGTGATAAATTCTTGCCTAGGATTTGGTCTGAGTATTTCAAATGACCCTGGCCTTGGTATCTTTGGATTATGCATTGGGGCCGGGCTCTATGTTAGATGTGGATGCTGGTCTGGCTGTTGAACCCTCAACTGCAGGGGAGATTGGTACAAAATGGCTTGGCATGTATCTGTATAAGTTTATACCAGTTGAGGGAGTGTTTGCCGGGGTTCATGTGGTGGGCACACCAGCTCAGGCTAGCTCAGTGGTGGCCACATCAATCTTGGCTGTGTTGTGGCTTCCAGGACTCATGGGAAAAACAAATTTGAATACCCCTTGCCCCTAGGGTCCAAAGGACAGCGCGATCCAACCTGATTTAACCCTGTAGCTACTGATTGAGGCCTCTTCATCTTCCCCCTCAACCAACTCTCTTTCTTCACCTTGCTTCCACACCTCTGTCCTCATAAACCACACTATGGCCTGAAAGGACAAATGAGGTCAATGAATTACATTCTTTTGTGTACAAGAATATTGATAGGAACACATTGATAGGAACAGGATTTGGAAGAACATCATTGATTTTGAACAAGATCAATGTCTGATCCTTCAATGGAAAATAATCCAAATTAGATTGGCTTTTGTTGAAGATTGATAGGAACAAGGTCTATTTGATGATACCAAAACAATTAAAAAAAGCTCTTGGATCCTAAACAAGATTGATATCTATTTGAATTGATTTCTGATGTTAATTGCGAACTAAGTTGAAAAACCAAATCAATTACATTTGCAAGATTGATAGGAACAAGGTCCAATTGATGATACAAAATAAAGCTCTTGGATCTTGAACAAGAGCAATATCTATCTGAATCAATTTCTGATTTTACTGGTGGACCAAGTTTATGCATTAAATTGAATACATTCAAATGATGATCGGTCAAAAGTTGAATGAATTGATGAATAGTGATTTGGTTTTCTTCAGATGAATCTTGGGGTCAAATGAAGTAAGTTGAGCAAGGTTGTTGGGTCAATTTGTTGTTGAGAAATTTGATCAACACGGTACTTGAAGGGGAATCTCATCAGGCATGTTGTGATGGTGGATGTTGGACTAGATTGGGGATGTGGTGTTGTGATTGAAGTCCAGAAAGCCAGAATGTATTCTGCCTTTCTGGCTTTGTGGAAAATGTGTTCTGGACCCTTCATTGAAAAGTTCCAGAACAACTTTGTGTAGTATAATTTATTGCCGTCACTCAAGATGCATGGTTGTTGCCAAATAATGTCCCATTCATGTTGTTGACTGGTCAGTTTATAACTGACAAGTGGGAACTAATGGGTATCACCCTTGTTATTGTGGAAATCAAGGGTGAGCATGTTTTCTTTTTCTATCTATCAATTCAATTTGAAACAACTGACATGTTCTCTTCCAGGTGCTCATAACACTGCAAATATAATGTGTTTCTCTGAGGTAAAAAAAGATTGAACTTAATGCACAAAATGGTTAATAATGCAGATTTAATGCTGAAAAATGCATATTTAATGCAGATTTAATTCACTTTTAATCATTTTGTAAGTTAAATGTAATCATTTTTCACCTTTGAAAAACACATTATATTTGCAGTGTAAGGCCCTTTGCTAGTATCATTGTTGATTATCTGAAGAACTACAATCTCACAAACACATTGACTGCAATGAATGCCAACAATGTCAGTACCAATGCAGCCATTGGTTGAGCCATTGGAAACACAGATGGCAATGATTTCAATCACCAAAACCAAGTTCATGGGTGTGTAGTGCATGTTATCAACCCTGATGCAAAAGAGGGACTCAAGATATTTGGACAAATTATGGAATTGGACAAAGGGGAGGACAATCCATCACACTTGTGTCTCCTCACAGGCTCATCCCAATGTCAGTCAAGTTACTCTCAAGACCATTTACCACCAACGCCATGGTCTGGTTCCAACTACCCGGTGCAGCCCTCAACACGGTCAACTTTTTGCAAATATTGTCCATATGCCATATGCTAATTTGACAAAGTATCCAGCTCCCTCAGCAAGATGTGAACCTGCTTTATGAGCAAAGCCTGCCCAACTCATCCAACCCCTGCTCCCAATCCTGGCAACTTCAAGGCTCTTGATCAATACCTTTTAGAAGATCTGACTGTTAGTAATGTTAGACCACCTCACACCCAAAGAGACAACACAACTCAAACTCATTGCAACTCTTCATATCACATGTTCTGAAGAATTCTCTGGCTACAAAAAGCATGCAATGAGCTCTGCAAGTGTGATGACCTCAAGAAATATGCACTCTTACCAATGGAGTGGGATTACGTCAAGAAAATGTGTGATTTCGTGGAACCCCTCAGCAAAGCAACTGAGATACTTTGCAAGTCACAGTACCCAACAATGCATCAGGTGGTTCCATTGTATTCTGTAGTCCTACAAGAACTGAAATCAGTAAGAGCACCCACTATCATGAGGGTGATTTAGATTTTGCTTTCCAGAGTGTGAAAATTAATCATGTGTGTGTAAGGTTCCTATAAAAAAGAGCCTTCACTGAGTCACAGAACAGCTCAAAAGCCAAGACTACCTATAGAACGTCATTATGAATTCCAAACAATCTGGCTCCAAGTAGGAGGTTCCCCTATGGAGAAGAAGACACTCGGGAGCCAGGGCAAAAGAGACTAGTACAATCCTAACTGTCTAAACCCATAACCAAGTACCCATATGCTAACTGTAAGGTCACACCCTTACAGTGTGGTTTACCAAACTTGGTAAACACATGAAATCCACTATGGGATGATGTGAAATACAATTTACCAATGTTAAATCACTCTGAACCAACCTGATCCACAGTGGTATGATTTTGAAATGAACTATCTTAATTCTCATAACCTTCATCCAAAAGACATCCATCATATGCTTGCTCCAAGTTTCTTAAAAACCCAATTGATACCCTTTTGAAGTCTTCAAATGACCAAATGGTCTTTGACTTCCTGTTTGATAAACCTCCCACACCTCCTGAACCTCCTCATGCTTGCATCCAACAAGATCAAGACTGCGCTCAAGTTGCTCAGCAATTGCATGATGACCATTTTGCCCCAAACACTAGATATGAGTTGAAGTTCAAACATAAATTTTGACCAAGTATACAACTTTGTTTAAAAATTATTGAAGATTTACATATTCATGATGGATTCTGGGCTCAAAAGGCAGGTGTGAAGTTCCACCTTCAAAGTTGAGGTTTGCACTTTGATATTTTAAGTCTTGATTTGTGAAGTTTTGAAGTTTGAGGTTTTGAAAAATGTAGTTGTTGACCAATTATCCTGTGATAAATCAAGTCGTAGGCTTGCATAGATCTGAACACATGGGGTGCAGAATTTAACGCAGCAGTACGGACCGCAGGTCTAAAACAGGTCCATAGTGCACCTGTGTGTATTTTAGCACTACGGTAATGCTAAATCAGGTCATTAACGCAACCATAGTGGGTGCTCTAAGGAATTTTGACTAATCATTTCACATTCACATTTCAATTTGTTGATGTCAATCAATGCTATAAATAGCTTGGAAACATGATTGCGATCAACTGATCCCTGCTTCAAAAAAGATGATACCCAAACTTGAAGATTACTTTAAAGAAGTGCTTGCCAAACCTGCACCAGTCTGTGCTACCATCCTAGTTCCACACCTCGGGTTGAATTATTTTCAAGTGAGTTTATTTCATCTCTTTCTACTTTGTATGTGTACTAATGAGTGTTTGTATTCACCATCTACACAAAGGATTGACCAATGATCTTTTCTGAATTGTAATCGGAATTGGATTTGGTACCGACGTGATACCAACGGGTCGGATCTTCGCTTGTTTTATGTACATCATCCAAATTTGATGATGTCATAGACTGTTTACCGTCTTTCCGATTTTTACCATCCCATTGTGTTTACTACCGTCGATAACTAAAAGAACTCTTCAAATTATCATTTAGTCATCATTCCTATTTCAAAAAGCTCTAGTTTTTTGCGGCCCTCCCATCCATATTTCCCTCATATTTTTTTTAAGTAAATCTTTTTTATTTTTCATTTTTTGGTATCGCAGTTTTTTCGTTCTTTTTTCTTTTTTCTTCTTTCAAAATTTCCTGTGTTTTGTGTTTTGTTGTTTTTGTTTTTTTGGTGCGCTAGTATTTTTTATTATTAGTGCAGTTTCTGATTTCATTTTTTTCTATATTGTGGCGAGATATATTTTTTAGTCCGCTAGCCACCCCGTAGGGATGTGATTTGGTTTATGACAGAAATTTACCCTAGACGTTTAGCCTAGGGTTTTCGCCCACAAAACTTCTCATTTGTTTTAGTGTTTCCACTAAGTATTATAGTCAGTTGTTCGTTATTCCCATTTCCTTCTGTATTTAACTCAACGGTAGGATATGAAGTTTCGAATGAGTGATTTAGATACGGTGTTGTGTCGCTGCCCTACATGGTCGCGTTATCATCGACCATCATCTTAATCCTTCCCCTGCCAATTTTTGAAATCATGGGTCAGGACTCTTTGATCAATGATTACAGAGCTGTTGGCTAAGATCAAATTCACGAGGAGATAGGTGGAAAGAGGCACAAAGTACGGTCGAGAACAATGTGTCAGGCCGGAACTGGCGTTCGGCCACCCATTTTGATGTAAATCCTGGAATGAGTTTACATGTGGGTACATGACAGGAAAATGTTACATAAAAAGATGCTGTTTGTCTTTGGACATGTTTGCATTGCTATGCGCGAGCCAATGCAGAAAGTGATTCAACATGGCTATCGACAAGAGCGACCAGGAATGGTTACAAGGAAATATGTACAGCAAAATTTTGTATTTCCAAATAAATTAACACTGTTCTGTTCCTTCGTTTAAAGTTGTACGGCTGAGGCGATAGATCGTGCGCGCTTATTAGCTTTTCCTTGGCCTTGGGGACTGGCGGCTGCTTCTGCTGCTTCGGCCTTCAAGATCTGATCCTTGGTTAGGTTCTTCGGGTTGGTTGGGTTTTGTTGCGCTGATGAGGGATGTATGTGAGGTAAGTTTAAGCGGAGGAGTTTGGTTAAGGAATTTGCATAAGAAACACTGACAATTTTGTTGCTGTTGCTGTTGCTGTTGCTGACGTGTGACAAGAGCTCGCGCCTGCAGACTACGTCTCTTTCCATTCACCTGTCTCACGTTTTTGGGTACGTCGGCTTGGCCGAGTGGACCAGTGGCAATTTCGAAAGCGATTCCTTCTTTGGTAGGTTTTATGCTGTCAACGTGGCCCACCTGTGAAACTATGTTTTCTTTGTTGGGGTCATTTCCGTTGTTTCCGTTGTTTCCGTTATTTCCGTTATTGCCATTGGTGGCAGTCCGTGATACTGTGGGGAACTGATGTCAGCGACCTTTTTGAAACAATTCTCGTCATAAGTCAACCTACCAGTATTCGCATTGCCACTATTGCCATTTGCATTACCACCAGTGCTCGTTTGTGATGCTGGGGGGTGGTATGTTTGATTAGTTAAAAGATAAAAAAATTGTATCTAGCCTTGCTAGATTGTGAGTGTGTAGAGACTTACCGCCTCCGTTTCCATTTCCGTTTCCGTTTCCATTCGGTTTCTGGTTTCCATTTCCATTGCCGTTTCCGTTTGTATTCTGTCGTGGAAGTAGGATAACGTCTCTCTTGTTGTTTCCACGTTGGGCGTTGTTGTTGTTATTACTATTGCCGTTGCCGCCATTGCCTAGCATCGGAAGTGTCAATTTCGTCTTTGACTGTTGTAGCTGAAAGACCACAAGCTCACCTCCATTTGAGTTGGTTGTTCCGAATGTAGTGGAAGCGTCTGTCTTCGCGCCATTCGTCTGTGGGGCTACTCGGGAAGCTATTTTGAATAAGTTCTGTCAGGGGGTGAGTAGAAATTCCGAAGAGATGAGTTGACGTACTAGGTGGCTGCGTGTTCAAATTTTGATTGTTTTGTCCGTTGTTCTGACCATTATTTTGACGCCGGGAAACTGAGATGTCACGAATTAAGTTCATGCTTTGGGCGATGATTCCAACTACATGACAATTACTCACGAGAGGCTGGTTGGAATGGGTTCAATACGGCTCTTCTGCGGTTTTGTCGCTTGCCATTGCCTTGATTGTTGCCATTGTCGTTGCCTCCATTCTGAGTCTGTATACGATTTGCAACTGCGTAGGATCGATTAGTAATATGAAGAAAACATAGGTATATTGGAAACTTACTTGGCATGACTGTGACGGGGCCGTTTTGTGCTTGGTCTGTGATGAACAATGAACGTCGGTACAGTGTATGTAGAATGTCATGAAAAGACTTACCGGCAAGCTTTGCAGACGCGTCGGTAAAAGTATCCCCAAAGCGTGTGACTGGGTTTGCTGTGATTGGGTCCATCGCGGCTCCTGATGAGGGACCTTTGCCTGCTGGTGCAGGGTCGTTGAACAGGCCTTGTTTTTGAGTAAAGGCCATGCAACCACCGAATGGGCCGGCTTTGGCACCCTGATGTGCACAACAAATTCATAAGAAGACAGCCAAAGGGTGGAGAGTAACAAAGGCTCACATTGAGGCATCGCACAAGGCAAGTCATTCCGTCGACTCCACCAGTGCATTTTGCACCGGCAGGCATCTTGGCGGTGATAGGAAGGTCGATTGCTCGGGCATCAGATCGTCCATTCTGTCCAGGGAGATTGACTTGCATGTCGACTTTCTGAAAGTTGTTTCCAGTTGCAGTGTAATCGACGGCACAGGAGTACGGCCCACCACCTACAAACACAATCGTTTGTAATCTTACAAAAAAATCAAGTCAAGTTGCGAGACACCTACCATCAGCGTTGACTTGATGTGCAACAAGGTTGATCAGACCTCCGCTTCCAACATCAGGTAGACCACCGTCTTCAGCTACAAATGATCATATGGTTAGATGAGCACCATGTCTGTGAATGGGGAAAAGTGCCAACATTTTTCCAACGCTTTGTTCATGTCAATCGGGCCCCCAATGAGCGTACGTCCACAAGGTGAGGCAATCCCTTTGACGATGTCAGCTTCGCGGATGACGGCTGTATCGAGCTGGAAAGGGTCTCGCCTGATCAAAATGAAAGCCATTAGATGTCGATGCGCATTCGGTGTCAGTTGCCAAAGGGGGGACTTACGCAGTGCCATCTCGTGGAGTGCCGTCCAGAATACCATATCCTTTACCAGTGAGTCCGTTCGTCTCTCCCGTCATTGCAACCAAGGCCAAATGGGCTCTGGCATGTTCAACAAAGCTACACGCACTGATGAACAAGACAAATTGAATACCGATGAAACGCATGGCGATCAAGGTTTGAATGAAAGGAGGTTATACGAAAGATTATGGCCGGAAGGTGATAAATAGAATGCTTAGAAAGTACGGGAACAGAATAAATAGAATTAATAATTAAAAGGAAATCTTAAATTAGGTAATTTGTGATGAGCACCAGGCTCTGAAAGAAAAATATTACTAAGGATCGAAGTACTGACGGCGATGAGGAATGATCCAACTGGAAGCCAAGTGTTCGCCTTATTATACTCCTTTATGCCGCGTCAATATTAGACAGCCTTGTTCAATATCGTTGACCTCCATAGTGTGGATGAAAGCCAGTCCAAAAGTGGATAACAACCCTTGGCTCCAGTTCGGTTGGTCGAGAATGGAATCCACGTTGTTGGTCAATTACGCAAGATGGCCACCAAATATTGAAGCCCGAGGCCAACAGAGGGCGTGAAAAGTTTCTACAAAAATTGATCAGTGGTTGCAATTCGCAACAATCTTCGGCTGACTTTAGCTGGCCTCGAAGGCTGTGGAATGGCCAAAGCTGAACAGTTCCCTCGGTGTCACTTCAGCATCTTGTGTAAGGCTCGGATGCCAGCCAAAGTCAGGTGGTGCTGGCGGAATGAGGCGGCGCAGAGGGCGCGGCTGAGACGGCGCTGCTACCTTCTTGACTCAGACTCATTTTGTTTCGCCTTGAAGGGAACACGCAGGGAAAAGCCGCTCGACTAGTCTGCCATCGTTAAAGACACCCTTTGAACCGGACCAGACTACAAAAAATTCAAGATACGTGTCTCACAATCCTTCCTGACTCGCCTCGGTCATCGCCTTCACAGCCTGGCAATCAAGCAACCTCAAGGTCATCCAGGATGGGCGAACCCAGACCAGATGATTATACCCTCGCAATTAGATCTCGTCTTCAATACCAACCCCATAAAGACAGCGGATTTCTTCCTTCGATTGCTTGACGCATCTCCCCAAGTGCACAACTTTGATTAATAATAAATTTTCTTTATTTTCATTTTTATTTTCTTATTTACGTTGAGCCTGGTGCTCTCACATTAGTCTTAGTTTGTAATTCTTATTCCCTTGTTACTACATTACTTTTTATATACAACACTAAGGAGCATTTCAATTTCTTTGTTATCTATTTATTACTCAACTTCGTGATATCACCTATCATACCTCAAGTAACGCAAAAGCAAAAAAACCAATTTCATTATGCACTACACCGGCAGAATCTCAGTTTCTTCGCTTCTTGCTGCAAGTCTAATCCACACGGCATACGGGCACATGGCCTTGGTGGCGATGTATGGGGAAACCAATGGATTGACGGGAAAGGGGTTCGGTATCAAAGACGGCGCACCTCGTGACTCCTCTCAGTAAGGCTTGATTGTCTTTTGACTTGTTTTCCACCTTGCACTAACGAACCTCTTGGATTCCAGACGTGACCCTGCACAGCTTGATTCACCTTTTGTGCGTGACTTCGAAATTCAGGACGGCACTGCATCTACATGTGGCCGAACACTCATCCAGGGAAAGCTGGGTATCTCCGACTCTATGGAAAAAGGTCAGCTATCAATCTTACCATCCAAGTTATAACACGTGTTCATTGTTCTTCTGCCCATATCAGCCGAAGATGGTGGTCTCCCCGACGTCGGCCCGGGGGGTGTAATTCGTATCGTAGCCCATCAAGTCAATGCAGACGGTACGGCCTCTTTCGTCATATCATTCCAAGACAACGAACTGATTTAGACTTTTGTTTCAAACAGGTGCTGGTCCCTATAGTTGTGGCCTTGATACTGAAGCAAAGGGACAAAATTTTCAAAACATCCCAGTATCTGTGAACGTCCCGAACGGTGGCAAGTCCACTAGGCCCACCGATTATACTTTGGAAGCCAAGATTCCGCAAGGTACGAAATGCACAGGAGGCTCAGATGGCCAAACTTGCATTGTGCGGTGCCTCAACGTCAGTCATTGAACCTTTTTATCTTGAAACAGTTCCTCCTATTGAGATCATGTAATCCGTCCTCAGACCGCAGACGCCGGTCCATACGGAGGTTGTATCGCGTTCACCCAGAAGCAAGGACTGTTCAACGATCCTGCTCCCGCCGGATCTGGCCCTACGCAAGGATTTCAACTTGACAAGATAACCGAAAACCCTGTGACGCGTGGCGGTGACCAATTTTCTGACGCCAGGGCCAAAATGGACCGTGAGTCTCCATCCACGTCACATGTTTCCAAAAAATATTTCACTAATCGACGTAAATTCTCTCAGCGAAAGCTCTTGCAACCCAAGGTGGCAACGGGAATGGTAACGCGCAGACAAGTGAGTCCATTACTCTTTTACCACCATTACCTGACATCTGTTGTTGATAATTATGTGTCTCATAGCCGCTCGACAGGCGACCGGTGCAGCCGGAGCGACCGGCGGAGCCGCTCAGAGTAAGCCTTTCTTCACCCAACATTTCTATAAATCCTAACGGTTTTGTGCTTTTTTATTGCGTCTTATCTCTAACAGCAGCAGGCAAGAAGAACACCAGACGTGACTTGGCCAATGACTCGAGTAAGTCACTCAAACTGATGTCCGTGTTATAAATATCGTGAGCTAATGTTTGCGCAATAACCTTAGTTGTGGGTTCACAATATGCGCCTCGTTCACCAAGTACAAACCAGCGCGAATTTTCATGTGCGTGGTCCAGACCATTCATCTTCGAGTGCTGCTCTCAAACTAATTCCATACCCCTATCCCGTCTGTAGTACGCCGCCGATCTCCTCAAAGTAAGCATCGTATCTTCCTTTCGAAATCAGTGATATAGGGCTGACAATTTCGTCGTCTTAGACAATAAGCCAGCTGCAAATACAAACACCCAGAATGGGAACAACGCGGCTACCGTTAATCGGTCAGCTACGGGAAACGGAAATGCCAACGCTAACGTAAATGGCAACGGAAATGGAAATGCTAATGGTAACGGCGGCCAAGCTAACCAAGTAAACCGTTCCACCAATGGAAATGGAAATGGAAATGGAAATGGAAATGGAAACGGAAACGCAAACGGCAATAACGGCAATAACGGCAACTTACGGGGACATGTGGACCCTATCAAGCCGACCGAGCAGGGTATTGCGTATGAGATTGCGACAGGTCCTCTTGGACAGGCAGATGTCCCGCAGAACATTCGTCAAAGTGTCGGCGGCAAGAGAAGATCGATCTCCAGAAGACAAGCCACACAATTCACGCCAGCACAACAGAAGGCTCCTGTTTCCAGCGGTACGAGCGATTCATAAACCTTACCCAGCAAACCCATATTCATTTGACTGATATAAATTTTTCCTAAATCAGCCCCCAATTCCAACATTCCGGTCACCAATGGAGCAGCATCTACAACTCTATCCGCACCAACACCAAGCAAACAAGCAGGACCAGGCTCAGTCACCAACCCTCTTTCATTGAGCAATCAAGAGATTGATGAAGCAGAGGCCGAAGAGGAAGCAGAAGACGACGCTGAACACGAGGCAAAGAAACTCCGAACTAGGCGCTTTTAAACGATTTTGTACATTGTAAACAGGCTACCAAATACCCCATGATATCCATGTTCAAAATAGTTTGTATGGAACCTAGCCCTTTAGGCACCCCTTCACGCAGATGATGAATTATAAAACACTTTTTGGTTGAATACTATGAGACACTTTGTATAGCCCTCTCAATCTTGACATATTTCGAGCTCCCTACCCAGGTCTTCAAAGACCACATTTGTGAGTTTTCTTACATCAGCACCAGGTACATTTGAGCTATAGGTATGCTGCTCATTCGCAATGAACCGAACGTGTGGCATTCGGACTTGGCAAAATGAGAAGTATTCACCGCACATCAATTCACAGGGCATGTAAACTTAAAATTATTCACACCAAGATGTCAACATGACCCTACCTAAAATTGCTAAAGACGCAATCAAAAACTTTGCAATTCAAGAACCAAAGTCGGTGTCAGTGAGCATTGGGCAGGGTCTTGGACTTTCTGGTACTATGTTACCCGTCGGGGCTCGTTTTCAACCATAGGTCGCGGTCCCAGAGCGTCGACAGATCTCTTCGCCAGCACGCGGGCGCGCCGAGCTCTCACTTTATCTCACTCTAATATCTCGTCTCTTTAGGGCTTGACGACTTGACCACAATAAACAAAGAAATGGCTCGAGCTCAGCAGACACACGATACTTCCAGTTTGACAAGTCTCAGTGATATCGCTGATGAGGTTCCTTCAAGGCAATCTCAAGAGGCGGCTTCTTATTACTCGTCCATTTACCCAGCAATCCACAGCCCGACCCATTCTCACCCAACCTCCTATCACACTAAGCATCTTTCTTTACGTCCCTACCAAATAATACCGCCCGTCAGAGGAAGGCAAAGCTTAGAATTTAATCAAGATCAAAACCAGTCCAGAGAATCTTTTCAGTCTCGCTTATTGGAGTGGTATGATGTCGTTAAACGTGACCGTGAAATGCCCTGGAGGAAAGATGTGAAGGACTTCCACATCCTGACGCCCAGCGAACGCGGCCAGCGAGCATACGAAGTTAGTTCTGCTTATTGCGTTTATAATTTTACCACCCCAATGATCCTGAGTCTTCATGTTGCTATCCATTCATTATTTTGGCACATTGTCTTCTATCAGGTGTGGGTCAGTGAGATCATGCGTGAGTAGTTAGTTATGTAACTATAGCTCTGCAACCAATCTGAATCGGAGAGACATGGTGGACATGTTGGAAACCGCACTTTCACTGGCGAATTCCGACCTCGTACTGAACTGACGCCTGTCTTCTCATCGCCAACAGTGCAGCAGACTCAAGTCGAGACAGGTGAGTCGCGGTCTTACAGTCGCATGTTCATGGCCTACAGAAGCAATATCTTTATTCAAAATGATGCGTCTACTCACGTCGGTTTTGTTGTATTTTCAACCATCTGCACTAGTGAAATCGTACTACTGTGAGCACTCTGATATTCTCCATCATCGCATTATTGACTGACATTGTTCACTTCCGCTATCAATGAACCTGTTTGTTTCAGTACGGTGGATGGAAAAATTCCCAACAATCTTTGTCTTGGCAGAAGCAACAATCGAGGAGGTCAATGCATGTTGGCAAGGTGAGTGGTTTCATTTTTGCTCAAAGAGTCTCTTGGAACTCAATATACTATCTTGCGTCTCCAACTACGCATCCTCTCACAATATGTTGCACGAAATGTTTCGTAGGTCTGGGGTATTATTCTCGCGCATCTAGATTGTTAAGTGGTGCGAAAAAGGTCGTACAGGACTTTGGCGGAATCTTACCGGATGATCCATCGATTATGGAAAGTCAGGTCGACGGAATGTGAGGAAGCCTACGCAAAAGACGACTCGACTTCTTCCTATATATCCAATACTAAACTCAAATCACGTCTCAACTTGCAGTGGCCCATACAGTGCTGGGGCAATAGCTTCCATCGCTTACAACAAACCGGCCGCCATGATCGACGGGAATGTTCATCGGGTTCTTACTCGTATGTTGCCTGGCGTTATCACAAATGACCTGTCTTCGGTACATCGAATGACCGATTTGGTTCTTTTGCCTTTGCAGGTCTGACTGCTTTTCATTCCACGCAAACCAGCAAGTCCACAATCAACTTTTTGTGGTCTGTAGCGCAGAGCGTAGTGCCAAACCATCGGCCCGGCGACTTCAATCAAGCCCTTATGGAATTGGGTGCAACAATATGCAAGCCACGTGCGAGTAAGTGCGGAGAGTGCCCTTTGACTGGTTGGTGCAAAGCATATCAAGAGGTAATTAATTCACGATGATAGACTGTTAGCATATTTGACTGATGCAGATCCCGATCGCTTTTTACGCAGAGCAGAATGATTCAATCGGATACAATCGAGCCACGTGAGACTGACATTGAAAAGGAAGATATGAAAGATGATATTGAAGACCTGTGCACGTTGTGTGTACCTTTTGACCCACGACACATACCCACGACATCTGACATGGACTATGTCCAGGTTTATCCGATGGCTAAACAGAGAAAAAAACCGTCGATAAAAGAGGTGGCCGTGGGGGTGATCGAATGGCGACCAAGCTCTAGTACTGCAAGTAGTCCAGAAGACTTCCACAAGAACGATTCGATGATTTTGTTAGTCAAAAGGCCGGAAAAAGGTGCGATCCAGATGACAATACTCAATCGTAAAGAATTTGTCTACTTACTTTTTGTACTACAGGCTTGTTAGCAGGGCTGTGGGAGTTTCCTGCTATCGACTTGCCCGTACCCAACAATCTTACTTCGAACGACCTCATGGAATCTGTCATTGAGTTTGTGGATGAAATTCTCGCGCAACCACTGCCTTCGCTCACCGCCAAGGACAAAGACATGCCTTGCTCTGATACAACTACAAAATTCGAACGATTTGTGGCAGAAAATGACTCTATTCATCACGTGTTCTCTCATTTGAAAGTCGAATACAAGCCTTTATGGATATCGATCTCCTCCCCCAATCCTCCCCTCTTGAAGAACCCGTCAAATTCATCTAGCAAGAAAACAGCAAAATCATCTAGCAAGAAAACAGCAAAGTCTTCAGCAACACTAAATCCAGCTCGGTGGGTATCAGCTTCAGACATCAAGGACGCAAACATTGGAAATGCTCACAAGAAGATCTGGGATAGCATGGATCAAAGATGGAAAGAGGATGAGCCAACAACAAATGTTGAAGCAGATCCAGTGTGCCAGAAGCCAAGTAGGAAAAGACGAAAGACTACGCGTTAGTGAAATTGGATGAAACTCCTATCTGTCACACTGGTCGGGGAATCGTCGAAGATCGCCTTTGTCACATGAAGAGGATCGGATCAAGCAACTCGCTGTAACACTCTAAATCGCGGGCAGTGTGGTTCTACTCTATTCATTACATCATCGAAACCTTTTACATACTTGGAATTCCTTCCAGTACCAAAAGTGTAGGCCTTGTAAACAGCATTTCTTGTATACTCCCTTTGATTCATTGGATTGCCTTATAGCTCTCAATCACACATCACTCGTCTCGTGCAATACCATTATACCACATGCTTTTTGTTGCACCCAGGAGTTCTCTTGCAGGCTTTCCTATGCATCAAATGCATTTGTCATACGTAGATGTTATCAGAGGTTCTCCACCTCATTTCATCTCAAGATATCACATCAATTTTGAGAGTTGAGCGCCTAAAAGGAACTTTCATCATCTCTTCAAGATAATCTTTCATTTGAGGTTTTTGATAAAGTTGTGAAATGGCGTGTGATAGCATTGAGGGACTGAATATGCAGATATATGTACTTCAATCACGGTTGATGCTTGAGAGTTCACTGATGTATGGGAATGGAATTGAAACAGAATTTGAGAAACTTATCCTATTCTGCAAAGCGGGTGGCTCTCCCTTGAATTGAAGAGCTTGAGAAATATGAACAGCGAGTTGTCTTTGAGAGTCCACCGCGGCTTCTTAAAGGGGATCACAAAGTTCTTTCTTCTTCAAGTGGAATCCACATGGAATTTGTCTTAAGCATGCTTTTGGTCAATCTGCTGGCGTATCTTCATCACCAAGATGTACCGAAGTCTGCTGAGCTGGAGGAGACGAAGAGATGCTCATTGGAGTTTCAAATTGTTTCAATTACAAACCTAACCTCGCAAGCATGTAGCTGTAAGTGATAGTTTTTGCCCGGCCCGCAGCAATTGCCGTATGTGTACAGGACATAATGGCGGTGTTGGGACTTTTGGGAAGTTTTTTTGCTGAGTCTCCAAACTAAATTTCAGCAATTCCCATCAACTTCAAACATATCCTCAAGAAGAGATAAGAAATGATATCGACTTTTCACAATCAAGAGTGAACATCAAAATACTATACCTTCATCCATCACATTCACTGTCTTCGATCTCAACAATCTTCAAGTCATCTCCAACAGTACTGGTAGCACAATTTAGCTTGGTTCCCCTCACGGGTGAGACCAGAACTCTGTTTACAATAGTTGAGTACAGCAAAGCGTCACGGATTACGGAAGGTCTCGCTATGGACTGCTGCTGACTCATCTTTTTCCACTTCTGACGGCGACCCCATCTCAAATCGAAGTAAACAAGATGCTATTTCCAAAGCTCGCGATACATATCTCGCCCTTCAAGCTTTCTCATCTTGCCAATCGGGGTCACTTACAGTTTCAGAACCTTCGTAATACTTTCAACAACATCAACTTAGGTAGCACTGTTGCGCCTAATGCATCTTCCGCGGGTGGTTCTGCGACCGGTGGTTTAGGGGCTGCTACAGGCCCAAGCACGGCGGGTGGTGCCGGTGGTGCCAAATGGAGTGCTGGTAGTCGAGCTGGCTGGACTCAACAGGTAATGTCAATTTGGCTCTTTGAATGGACCCTTGAAGCGCTACATGCTCGATGATTGTCGAACTCATTGGTCCGCTTATTTTTCTTATTGCCAGACTCAAGGTCGACTCATCACGCATGCCAATTCTGCCACGTCAGACAATCAGAATTCAAAGCAAAATGACGATGACGAAGTGGAGGAATTGCCGGCGCATCTTTTACATAATCAGGCACTTTACAATAAACGCAATGGTACAATCTCGTCACGTTGGCAAAATGCACAGCAGAAGGTGCCCAGCGTGACGACACTCAGCACCAGTCTCCAAGTCCGCTACAAATCTGCATTTACAGAACAATCTCAACGCACATCCCCGCTTCCTACCGCCCAACTGTCCGAGGAACAACCCGAGCATAGTGTCACTATACCTCCTTCCGGTCAGTTTCACTATCAGGTTCCTCAAGCGGATCGTGACCGACAGCTTGTGCGATCATCTTACTCTCGCTCATCACCTCGGCGAAGGCATTCTGTCTCTGGAAACTCGTTAAACCTTGCTGTGGGGTCCCCCAGATTACGCCGCGTCTCTGTCGGCGATGCATATCATGGATCTGAACTTCGTGCTATTCACTCAATCTCCTCGAACGCAAGGTCCTACTCGATAGCGACGGGCGCTTCTGATCTACACCATTCGACGCCTAGTAATCTTCCACCTAGCCAGACTGCGTCACAGCCACTGGAAAACCTCGTGCCTAGGAGCTTACCACTTGGTCATCATGCTTCAGCTCTTCAGCCTGTGAATCAGTCGACGCCTACGGACCAACAATGGCTGGAGCAGTCCCTTCACATCCTCAGTGCTACGGACAACCAATACACGTCGTTCTATCGCATGCGTAAACTTCTAAATACCTATGTCAACTCAACGCCTTCGCCATCCACCAAGGTCGTCGACCACATGATGTGGGGCTTTGTCATGACTAGACCCAACTTTGAGTCTATCCATGGGCTCCTTCATAACTATCAACACCTCCTCCGTAATTCGAAATATAAACCGTCTCCCGACACTTACAGCATTCTGATCACTGCTTTATGTCAACGTGATATAAACAATTCAAATGAGATAGAACTACGGAAGAGCAAGCTTGACGATGCCATGATTAATCAACGCCTCAACCAAAGTCTCCCGAATCTTTCTTTGGCCCCACCTTCATCAGCTGAAGATTTGAAAGTGCTCAACACCTTGACATCTGAGCCCAACTTTGATCATGCCGTGCAATTGTACAACACACTGAGCAAAGAAAACCTTCGCCTGCTACAGCCCGCAGCCCTAGACTCTCTAATCAAATCTTGCAGCAACCAAAGCGCTCTTGATCCGCAAAACGTTCGTGGACAGCAAATCATGAGGCTAAATTTGGCTGTCGACGCCTTTGGCAATTTGGAAAGTCAAGGCAACTGCTCTGCTCGAACCTATGCCGGCATGATTGATGTACTTGGTTATTCTCAAAAGCTGCCTAATGCGAAAGTCATGTTCGATGATTACAGAAATGTCAGATCGGGTGCGACTCCTATAACTTCACCCATACTGCACGTACATCATCTGAGATGTCCTGATCTTGCCGGCCTTTCCCCCGAACTGGATGGCACGATTGGTTTTACTCATCTTCGAGGGCAGTCCCAACCGGTGGATGAAGTAAGTGACGCAATGGTCCTTCTATCACTGATGAGGGCCTATCTAGCCAATGGCGACTCAGTCTCAGCTGTCACTTTGCTGGAAGAATGTCTCAATAGTGATCCCACTAGTGCTACACCTCTGGGTAAAATCAACTCTGATCATATACTAGAAATCATTTCAGGATTCATTCGACTATCTGACTTCCGTTCAGCCTCGAAATGGTTGAAAAGGATATTCAATGAGGAACACGCATTGTACGACTTGGACCAACCTGGAAAGCGAAACAGTTTCCTCGATAAAATCGTACGCTTATCTTGTCAACCGGAACGCGTAAGCGGTGGTCTCGATGTGGCCAACGACGCTGTCAAAGTCAGCATTGAGACAATGAGACCTCAATCAAACCCGAACGCTGGCATCAGTTTGATGTACCGTATGCGCCAGGTTTTGAACTGCCTCCTCGTACGCGCTTTACAAAGCTCTACCGCGCTACAGAAAGATCATCAGAGTACAAATTCCTCCATCACGCTCGGTATTACTAAAGACTCGCTTGAGAAGGCCACCAATTTAATCTGTGATTTCATCAAGAGGAGATCGTACCTTCTCGAAACTAACTCGGAGTCTTCAGCTTACCTCTTGAACCTTCAGACCTATGGGATGATGGAGAATTTGTTAAATAGAGCTATCCAGACATGTCAACATATCCGCATCGCCACCGGAGCCACTGGCCAGTTCAAAGAGCTGACTGATCTATGTCAAGATATGCTCATCAAGCTGTTATCGCATTATTCCACAATTCCTGATCATCGCCCAATTGATTCTGAAGACGTTGATGTACAGCACGAAAGATCCTCTCTCGCTGGCCTTCTCACCTGCTATCAAAACCTCATTTCTTCAACAGCGATATCTGCTAGTGGCCTCAATCATGATACCCAGCTCGAATTTTCTTTGAAGATCACAACACCTGTCATCATCAACAATATGTCGTTGATCTTGGCGAAACAGTTGGTCCGGTTCTACAATCTATCTTCGCAAGCTGATCAACTTCTCCGATCGACCAATGATTGGTTTGTAATGTTGACAGCTGGTGCGATTTTCGAAGTACAAGTCAAAGAAGGGAAATCACTCTCATTTGCAGAAGACGACTCTCGGTTTTCGACTCAATCCATCTTGGAAAGTTTACTCATCAGTCTTGAAAATGCCCTCGCCACTGGCAGAGTGAACTTTGCTGAGCGAGACCCTGCCATCGATTCGCAGTTCCTCATCCGGGTCATTGATACATATAATATCCCACTGCCTGTCGACGGAAAGCTGAATGGACTCTTCGCCGAACTCAGGGCCGCAGGTGGAGGCTCGTACAGCGCGAGTGACCTGCGACTGAACCACTATATACAAGAGGGTGGCAAGTATGTTACCAATCGATTTAGCGTCCTTGGTCACGAAGATCATAGCTCCCCTAATAATCTCTCGAATGCTACCGACTCTGCCTCTGTCACATCTCCTTCACTAACACTCATTGGCGCAAGCTCTGTACCTTCCAGCCTCCCATCGCCCCTGTTCTCACCTCACCTCGCCAATGAATCCGAGTCAACTCGCTCTACAACGCCGCCATCTCGGCTCCCTCTCCAAGTTCCCCATGATGCATCGCGCTCAATGTCTCGAAGTGTATCCAAATCTGTGGTACCGGTGCCGCATTCATCGTTCCGCTCCTTCAATGAACACCTCAGTCAAGTTGCATTGAGTATGTTTTGCAATAAAGATTTAGCTGAGCTTGAGAATATGTACCGAAGTGTGCATGAATCGGCCTCAAGAGGAATTTACCTCACACCAGATGCTTCATCGGCACTGATTGAGACCTTTGGGCGTCTGGGACAGCTTGACCGAATGAGGGAGATGTATGTATATGCTCACGTAGGACTCGCATCAGTCGAAGGGGTTACTCAGAGTGATCAAATATCGCGTTCCGCTAGTTGGATCAGAGTTGAAGATCGGATGATCATTGGATTGTCGTATTGTGGCGCCCTCGATGAGTTGGCTATCCATAAACTTCGGCTTCTAGAAAACGGTGAAGCACCCTCTGCAGATGCGTATGCAGCCATGATCCAGCACGCACGTGAGACTACTGACGATGCGAGTGTGGCGTTGGCGGTAAGTTTACCTTTGTTACTTAATTCAGGCAGATGATCCATATTGATTTTACCTCGATTGTTGCAGTACTTTGAGGAGGCAATCCAGCACCGAGTGATACCTAATACATTTTTATGCAATACCATCATCTCGAAGCTTTCAAAGGCCAGAAGGGCTCCTGAAGCTTTACAAGTATTTGATTATATGAAACAGAACAACCTCCCTCGAAATTCAGTAACGTTTGGTGCCATCATCAATGCATGCTGTAAAACCGGTGACGAAAAGTCGGCTGAAAAGCTCTTTCGTGAGATGTTACGATCAAAGTACTACAAGCCTCGGATTCCACCTTTCAATACGATGATCCAATTATATACCCAAGGTATCAAACATCCTAATCGGGAGAAAGTTTTGTATTACTTTGATGAAATGTTAAGACAAAACTTGTCGCCTTCTGATCATAGTAAGTGATCTAAATCTATTTTGTTCAAAGAGTGACATTGACACCAATCGCGTGTTTCTTCCCTTAGCATATAACTTACTAATGCAAGCATACGGATTTATCGAGCCATACGATCCAGTTTCGATGCGAGACGTCTTTGAACGGGCTTGCGCTGATCGGAATGTCCGGATCAATGGATCTCATTGGTCTACATTAATCAATGTGAAGGGGTCTATCGAAAAAGATTTGGAAGGCACACTTCAGCTTTTCGATTCGATTAGCTCACATCGCAGTACAATTCGAATGCGATCTGCGCGATCAGGTGAAGCTCAAGTCCTCCCAGATGCAGTGTGTTACGAAGCATTATTCAATGTCTTGTTGGGATTGAAAAGAACGGACTTGATATCAACTTATGTGGAAAGGATGCAATCAGGAGGTGTGCATATGACGGCATATGTGATGAATACGTTAATCAAGGCACATGCTTCATCTGGTGATATTCAAGCAGCACGTGATTTGTTTGAATCTTTAATAGATCCCGCACCTGGTCAAGCAGCTGCATTTAATCACCCAACCCCTCATGGAATTGAAAAGATTCAACAAGGGTATCATAACAATCATCAAACTAGCTTACAAAAATCAATTGGCCAAGTACATGATCCAGTTTATAGAGAACCATCATCTTGGGAAACAATGATCAGATCAGAAATTGAAAATGGTGAAATCGAAAGAGCTGAAGGATTAATGAAGAGAATGGAAAACAGAGCATATCCCAATGCATTAATGAATAGAGTAAGAAAACTAATCGAAACAAGTCGTCGGAAGATTGATCAATAGTTGAAGATTTCTTCATTTCATCACAACTTGACTCAAAACTTAACTCTGGTCTTATAAACCAATCAAACCAGACACATATATGTTATTTATTTTCAATCCCCACTCAAACAAAGCTTATCATACTCTAACAAAATTCATTTACATATTCATCAAAACTCCAATGCTTTTCTTACTGTAAGACACTTTTTGAACAATCTTAAAACCCCTTTGAATGAGATTGTACCAAAAAAGAGTTGAACTCCTAAAACCCAGTCCCCTTATATCATGAACTCCTTCTATACCTCATTTGCTCGTATATACATCTACATAGTTTTTGTTTTTTGTTTCTTTTAATTAAAGCAGGTTTGTTCTTTGGGATAGATTTAGATTTGAAATTCGATACATATAGAATGTAAGATATGGAAAACCAAAAGTTGATTGATATCTTTATTTGATCTATTCAAAAAATGATTGTGATTCTGTTGTTCGTCTTCTGGGGCTATATACATACAAGTTTGTTGATTTGGTTTGGAGGACAGCTGTGTGTAGGTTTAAAGCTTGTCTTTTTGGTCTTTGAATTTTTTCATCAAATCAGTATATGTATGTGTGAACATATAGCAAGTTGGTTTTCCAATATTTTGGGGGATTCTATAAAGGCCTTCAATCATGAAACTGTGATTTTGAACTTAATTATTTGCTTTTGCATGTTTCTATTTATCTATAATGCGTTTGATATCGACTTGAAAATAAACAAAGTCGTTTGGGACAGCAGCACTTTTTGGGAAAGATGATTGAGAACTTACGTAGTTGATCGAGTTTACACTTTTTTTGCCTCAAGTGATCCACTCCGCTCATGTGATTACTGCAAATTCCACCTGATAAAGAGATTTAAGATTTACAAATAGAAAAGCGTTTTGTGAGGTTATGACATGGGGTCTCTCCTTTGAATTTGATTTCATCATTAGCTTGACAAAGCCCTCCCTGCTTCTGACTAAACATTGAATTCGGGTGTGAATGGGACAACCGGTACTGAGAATACACCTCACTGATGCTCAGTACATACAACTAATGCAATAAGATAGAGAAAGATTTAGATGCGCTCACCCACGAGACACAGTGAGTAGAGAGTGGATATGATCATCAACATATCACATTCAAAATGACCACCACTCCACATGCGCCCCTTATCAGTTCACTGAGGATTAGTTGGTGCCTGAGTATTTCTTTCTCTCTTCTCAACTCTAACACCAAGAGTATACCAAGTCTTTTGCCAATCCAGAGATCATTAAATATGATCTTTGACTTATATTTCAATAATAAGAACCAATCCAAATGATACCAATTTTACCAAGACAATACGTTTTCCCAAAGATTCCCAAAAACAACACAGATAGAAAACCAAGGTGAGTTCAGAAGGCTTCTTCTTTCCTGGAATCTTTCCGTCACCCTATCCTCTTCAGCTTCCTTAACCGTCTTCAGACACCACGTCGGCATCACCCATTACTGGGCCCCCGTCCAAGTTCGGTTGCGCGCTCATGACCGTATCTGGGTCTGGTTTCGAGAGCAGATCCAAAAGATGAATCAGTCTGAGAGATAAGAGACCTAATCTTTTATGATGTAAAACAAAAGGTGCAGGACAAATGACTTACCAAATGAATCAATGTTCGGGTCTTTCGAGAGTGCCGTGAAGCTACGATCAGGTACCGAGGCAGCAAGTCCTTTCAGAACTGGCGAGTAGTTGTACTTGATGATCGCTCCTTATAAAATTAACAAATATATCATTCAGCAAGACAAAAAAGTACCAAAAGGACCAATGTTGATGGCTTTACCTGTATCGTTTAGCTTTTGTTCGTATTGATTCACTCCTTCTGTTGAGTTGAATTTCCCAATGGATGGGGAGCGATGTCAGAGATCATGTAGAATGGGCAAATTGGCTTGATAAGATAAGAAAGTACGAACCCTCCGTTGCATTCATTTTGAACGTGATGATCCAGCTTGTCATCGGATCCGGCGAAGCCTCGCTAGTTTTCGGTTTCTCGGCTTGGGTGTCTTGATCGATCGTATCGTTCTTGCTGGTCATCGGCGTCCCGTCGTTTCTTGCTGGTCCATCTTGCGGACTTTGATCTGGAGTGGCTCCGGTATTGGCATCCGGAGTGATTCCGGGAGTGGCTCCTGAAGCGGATCCGTCTGGAGCGGCTCTGGAAGCGGATTCGGGAGTTGCTGTTGGAGTGGCCTCGGAAGTCGTTGGCGACGGCGAAGGAGTCTCCATAGGTGCTTGAGAAACAGGGGTTGGGACCTGTGTTTCGTTCCTAACCGGCGGGCTGGGACCTGGAACAATTCTAGATGAAGAGTTAGATGGAGCAGTCAAGTTGTGAGCTTTACCTTTCTTCATGGTCATCTTTTTCTTTGACCCTTTGTCCTTGCCGGTCCTGTTGGTCGTCATGTTGCGTGAACTTGCGCCTTTGTTCGAAGTTTCCACCGTGTGTTTGGAATTTCTTGAAGAGTGGATTCCGGGGTCGGATGATGTGGAGTTCTGGTTCTTCGTTACCCCTTGTCCGGTTTTCTTCTTCTTGGTCTTGAGTTCAGAGTTCTTTGACGCAGGTTTGTGGGTGTTTTGGGAAGTTGTCCGGTTGGCATTTCCGTCTTCACTCAACGCCTGGGTCATGTGCGCCGGCTGGCTCGTAGGACGGGAAGACTTGTGATTTGATCCATTCATGGTTTGATTCCTGTTCTTGGAATTGGTCAGGTCGTAACCAAATGGCTTCTTCCGGCGTCCGTCTTTACTCTTCTTCAAATCAAGTCTAGTGAGATTTCCTAAATTCAGCTTGGTTTGTGAGTCGTGAGTTGAGATCGAGTGTGTATGATCAGCTTGATTGGGAGCGTGTATCATATGAGTCGCTTGAGCAGACGTCCTGTTCTTGCGTCGTGACCCGTCAAATGCCATGTTATCATCTATTGTCCGTTTGGGCCCATGTAGTGATTTGTCGTTGGGATGATTGGTGGACTGACCCATTTTCTTCTTGCCCTTGATATCCTTTTCAACTTTCGTCTTTTCCTTCTTCTTCTGGTTCTCCGGCTTTTGCTGATCACTGCTTGGCCGCTCCGCGGTTTCATCTTCTCGTTTGATGAATCTTAAATTTGTCGAGCTATCCAGGCTTGAGTCGATCGAGGTGCTGAGCTGCACAGGTTCCGTAGTCACTCCTAGCCAAGTTCTAAATTCGAAAAACTTGGCGGAAAATGTAGTGAATCCCATCAAGGGATTGTTGACCACAAGTGGTTCTTGCGGGAGACGCATCAAGCTGTTTCCGGCTGTTGTGATCGGGTCCAAAAACCAGTGGCAGTCGAAGAAGGTAGCACAAGATGCGAACGTGACAGGTGAGAAAAAGTTTGAAGATAACCTTTGGGTCAGCAAACGTGTATTTTGTTATAGATCGCGACAAGGTGAAAACGTACCAATCATGTTCAATTGAGTTTTTTGTTGACTTTACTTGTCCGCTTGATATTTGTGAAAACTGTCGAGATCAACTCGGCGTGTTTTAAATAAGTTGAGAATTGAATGAATGCAACCTAACGAGGTCAACTCGTCGTGTTCACGTTGAAAAAAGAGGTAGGTAAGGTGAGGAAAGAAAATCAATAAAGGTAACAAAAAAAGTACTGCAGACAACTTCAGAGATCAAAAATGAAATTTGATTTGGGTAAAAAGTTAAACAGTTGGATGATGAGATTGGTAAACTGATAAATGCGGGTTAAGTTGATAAAAAGTAAGGCAAGGATGAGGAAAGATTTGGATTCGAAAAACCGCAAATTGGAATACCTTTATATAGGTGTCTTCGTGAATCAAGAGATGGTAGGTAAGCATTGCCAGTCATAGTCTGACATCCACTCTTCAAACTAGGTCATTTAGTTTTTCTTCGAGTTCTTGATATGGATGACCTCATGAATTGGGATGAAAAAGTTTACATCACCACTCACGGTCAGTGACCAACAAGCCTTCTTTTGTTTCGGTCAACAAGTCTTTCTGTTGATTTATAGCTTCCATTTGGATTACACCACATTTACCGAACTGATCTGATCGACTATACAATTTGCGCTTATCGTGTCAATTTTATTTTTCTTGAAGCCATCTTTGGAAAAAATTATGGATGGGTTACCTATGAGTCAAAGAGAACCTGTCAATTGCGCCAAACTTGACTGAGAACCGGTCCATTTGATGACGTCATGTATTGAAGAAGACATGGAAAGGACCAAAACCCAACTGCAAGCCATTGTTCGATTTATGACAACACCCAAGAGCCCAACGTCGGCGTGATGATCTCCACATGTACTTGTGCAAATCTCTACAAATCTACCCGGTTTTGTTTCAAGACTCAGCCTCAGCCCATGATGAAAAGTTGAGAAACTCTTCCAAAGCGGTTGAAGAAGATCACAGACAAGAGCACGAAAATCCTGAATGATTTGTTTGGTAGTTGGACTATGGCCAAGGATCTGGTGGTCAATGAGCTCATCAGATAATGGTTGAGGATTGATCAATGATGAAATGAAAAAGTAGAGTTGAAAGAAATGGTATAGATCAGCAGTCAAGAGAAACTGCAAATGAAGTTTGAAAGGAATTGGTTGAATGCATAAGCATCAATCTCACAACCTGACAATAGCATTGTGAGACCAAAAACTTAATCCTCTTCAAATTGATTGTCACTGGTCCTTATCTGAAGACTCAAGGCACAATCAGATCACACCAACATTTTTCTTGATGGATGACTAAACAAGTTTATAACTCTTCGGAAACAGAAAACCCCTAAGGTTCTGAACACTTTGCTTACCTTCTTTCCCAGTCTTTTCATAACTTTATCAGAAGGGGCCATATTTGAGATCATCAATATAATGGATCAATAAATTGTTACTTGGCCACGATTTCAAGGTCTCTCAAAGTCTACCAATCAGTCATATTTATTTCCTCCTAATTATAATAAAGGAAAGTAATTTAAGGAAAAAAAAGCTTACCACTTGCCATATGTTCTGACCTAGCCCCATTGAGATGCCCTGCGGCCATTTTGAGTGTCCCCATGGTATGCTATTACACAACACAGTCATCTCACTAATCCTTCTCCCACATTTTCAGTCACAATAAATCTGCATTTTTGTCTATCTCAGTAACCTCAAATTGACCACATTCAGAATTGCATGTATCCTCTCCGGATGGCATTGTAATACAATGATGAGGTGATTGTAATTTACACGTGAGGAATTGGCATGCATCACCTTTGTGGCGGTCATATTTATTACAAGTAAAAGGATAAACAAGACCACATAAGTAAGATGAGAATAGACAAATTGAGAATGTAATAGTATTCTCTATCAGTGTGTCAAGTTCTCTTTTTAAATGAATTATCACTGGCAACATGGATAGCTGAGGTATTGTGACAGTGCATATCGACTACATTACCTTCTCCCATTAAGTCCTCAATCAGATTCCTTAACCAAACTGTGTCTTGACAATCTGTGCCCAATATAGCCATTTATTCAGCACGAAATGTTGATAAACCTACACAAATCTGCCTCTGATGTCAATGAGATTGAGCAGTTCAGGAAATAAGTAATGAAACCATGAGATGATCTTGCTCCTTCTCCTCCCCAATTTGTATTGACATACATATGAATTGGTGTGTTGAATTTTGACTTCAACGGTTTGATTGCAAGTTGTTTGACTCCAGTGGTGTTGAGATATCGTATTATGTATTCAATTGACTTGTCAGTGTTGTTATTGTAGGTCAGATGAAAACCTTGCTAAATAGTCGACTGTGTAGGTGATATCTGGTCTAGTTGCAACAAATAGATAATTGTTACTTCCAATTTCTGAGAGATATTTTTTGGTATCAACTTTTTCTTTATCTGTGTTTGGTGATGTTGGATTTTTTGGTAGATTCATTGGTGGTTTTGTAGATTTTTTCATCAGGTATGTAAAAATGATTGAATGATTTTTTTTGTTAGATCTGGTTGAGACAATAAGAAAGTTCATCTTTATTTCTCTCTATCATGAACCCTTTTACATCAAGATCCCACCAAGATGCACAATAAAATATATGTCTACCTGGGTGCTTGATGATGTAGTCACTGTTAGCCAGAGATATCTGGTATTTGAGTCCTTTCCAAGTTGACTGTTTTCCTCCCCTTTCTTAAAACGAATCTCTGAATAAATGATTGGTCTAATACTCAACACATTCTACATCTGTTAACTTTGAGATAAATATGTTTTTGAATCTTTTAGATTTCTTTTTTCAATATAACTTATTCCAGTATAAGTCATCTAAAAATTAGAGAAGAGAAAAAAAAGGAAAAAAGCAGAGATAAAAATTTGAAAGTATGATATCTGTTCTGTTTTCCTTGTGTTTTTTGTCTGTTCTATACAAAGTCTTCTTCAACTTTTCTTGTATAAATTTTCTGGACCTTTTCATGGATAGGGGAAGTGGAAAAATCAAAGACAAAGTACAACATCAAGTCTCCTTACATTCTCGAATCTCCTCTGCCAAACCAAAAACTTGGGTTTGATCTGTTATACGCCCCTCTGTGAGAAGAGCGCGGGCAAAATCGCACGTGAGGAGCTTGATCGTTAAACTCAATCTTACCATCTGATAAGTCTGATAGCGATACTCTTTTTAGAGATCTTAAAGTCTTGATACTTAAACGGATTGTACATAACTTCGTCTTGCTAATCACATAATTTGGAATTCTAAAGTGTTGAGGATGTGATCCGAAATCAGAAATCCTCCGAAAAAGATCTCTTAGAATGAAGTTTTTGTTTGCCCAAACCCCTCGGGCCTTCGAGAATCGAGAATCGAGAATCAAGAATCGAAAGAGTTCGATGGTAAAGTTCAAACGAAGATCATTTGGCTGAATCATCAACCAGTCCATATAGATGAACGTTTTTGGTTTGTGGATAAGTAACTCAGAAGCTGAGCTATGGATCTCCAAGATAATCAAATTTCTTTGGACCGATCGATCCGGAATAATCAAAACTTCAAAACATGTTGGAATTCTACAATCCAATCTTGAACTATTCTTGAACAACTGAACCACTCGAGCAAATCGTCGGAGAATTTTATGGTTTAGTTGTGTTTTTACTTGAAGGTGGTTGTGGATACTGATTTGCAAGATGTGAGCCTTGGATGATGGATCATGAGTTGGTTTGTCTATTTCCATACGATTACGGTGGGTTTACTTTCATCTTTTTTTTACTAGTTTATGATTGTGAGATTTTGATCTTCGAATCGTCTTGTGACTTGGGCAAGTGATTAGTATGAGCTCATGATTTGGTTTATTGAATCTCAAACTTCAGATCTTTGATGATGAAGACTTCTTTAACATCAATTTGAAGTTGATCATACCAATCGAGATTCGAAAGGGATTTTAGGATGATTGATACGATTTGAATGTCGTGGTACGTGAATGATTGGAAAAGAAATTGTGTCAAATCGATTGGATTACATAGAGTCACACGCTGACTCGGTTTACAATTCTACTGAAGTTCTTTTGACATACAATCATCTTCAAGAATTGCCTCCGCACCAATTCATCACTTTCATGAAATCATCATCACTTTGACCAATCTGCTTCTCATCATCATCATCATCATCATCACCTTTCACTCCTGAACCCTACAACCCTGCATGCTCTATAATTCACTAAAGGGGTCCTCCTTTAATCAGAACACCCTTTAATTTATCTATCAGTCCATTGCATATCATCTGATTAAACTAAATTGTGATCATATCCAAAAAAATTCCAGATTTCAAACTTCAAATAACCTTTGAGATTAAAATTCTAAGAAAATCGTGACGGAAGCGAATACATAAGGCTTTTTAAGAGGACCAACCAAATTGTATGTATGTTGTACAATAACGTGATCTCCAAGAAAGTCAGATTACAGGATCGGTTAAAGGAACTTTCTTCTTGACAGTGTACACCTCTATTTTGAAGTTTTTGTTGTTGTATTTATAAAGAATTCTCCGGTTAAGGAACGCTCAAAAGCTTGGAATTTGGAATTTCAATTTGACATCAAGTTGACTATAATCAAGTTTCCATGAACCGAAATTGAATTGTGAATGAATCAAAGTGATTTCTTAGTTTTGTAAAGTAGAAAATCAAGTTAATCCCATCATCATCATCATCAACAACTGAGATCATCAGCTATCAACAGATTATAAGAAAATATCTAATTTGAATTGCACTCATCATTAATCTTCTTAAGCCTCTTCTTCTTTTGTTTCTGGTTCTAGTTTGATTGAAATCTTTTAAATTCATCCATTCATTCGATTCTCGCTTTCTAATCTAATACTATTCTTGATTCTTAATTACAAATTCATTCGATTCGATCTTAGTCTTGAATTCTGATTTTGATTTTATTATCATTTATCAATCATCATCATCATGCCTTTAGCTTTCAATCATCATCATCATCAAAAC